ATTAAGCAGTGAAGGCTTGGGTTTGAAAATGGCATTGCTCTGGACGGCCCTAATACAGGTGATCTTGCAACTGCATCCTTTGGGCTTCCGCACCCCACCCTCACTGGGGGGATCTGCTGCAAGCAGAAACAGGACAGAATCCTGTGCCTAGGCCCCACTGCTCACCGTTTCCGAAAACCAGATTGAGTGTCCAGACAGGTGTTGGGTGGGCTCAGAGCTGAGTCCGAGGCTTGCCACTCATAATGGTCACTCAAGCTTCAGGTTTTTTGTAAGTAAAACGGAGGGCAAGGTGAAACCTAAGTCCCATTTCTGGATTGCAGCAGACCCTCAATCAATGGTAGCTACCCAGATTAGAAGGGCCGGCCCTCCATGGCACAAAGTCATGTTCGTGGATGGGAGAGCTCCTGGTCCGCAGAGGAACAGGCGACCTGCAGGGATCCCTTCCACAGTGATGGCAGAGACGAGAGCAGGCACACTCCAGCAGGCCTGGGAGTGACGCCTGGCACAAGCCCCAACTTTCTCTTAAGCCTCCTACCATACCTCATGCAAATGCGCTTGCACTTACATTAAGCAAGGCTAGTACTCCCTAAATGTCAGGCATAGTAACCAGGCCCCTCCCCACCCCTGACAGTGTAAGCCGTGAGGGCTCGGACCCTTGCCTGCTGTGCTCATCAGCGAGTCCTCCGTACAAAAAGCCGCACAGAGAAGGCAGTTAACAACTATACAATGGCTTCAGGCACCTCCCAACGCACTTCTGTGTTTGCCTAACCTGCACCCCTACCAGCAAACATTCTTCACCTGAGAAACACAAGTCTCAATGGTTACTGTACCTCCCCAGCCATTTCTGTTCTGTCAGTCATCTGTCCTCTTCCCCACAGAACAGAAAAGGAACACAGGACTTCCGAGTTATAAACAGGATTATCTGCTTACAAATATATGATTTATCATCTCCTTAATCTCAAGCTACCAATCCTATCAATCGCTGTCTGCTTCTTCAAGCATTCCACCAAAGAGAGAGGCCGGAGGGATTTAAATGAGTAAGGCCATATATACATGAGGGGTCTGAGCTGAGCCATGTCCCTCCCCCACACCAGGAAACGAGCCAACACACATTAGTGCCAACTATATTGTTTCACCTTGTAACAGCGCGACAGGCATCACTGCTCAGCACCTGCCAGGCAAAACTGTGTTTGCTGGACAGCCAACTCATGAGGGGTCCTCACCCGTCCCTCCCCTGTGACAGCCCCTCCACACACCAGTAGAATCATAGAGCTCAGTTGGAACAGTAACTCTTAAATGAGAACCTAGAGCTATGTAAGGAAAAAATGCTTTAAACTGCAAGGCACTTACAGACAGTGGTGAGACTATTACCTGCTCTGAAGGAACTCGTATAAATTCCATTTGCCTATGCATCCTTAACTGATGCCAACAAAAATCATGGAATTTACTCCTAAGTCCAGTGCATTTTAGATTCTCAAACTGCTCTTTCCCTCCACGGATAACCGAGATCTAGCTGTTCTCCCTACCATCAAACCTACTGAAAATAAAAACCACAGGGCTCTCAAGTCACGTGCCTATGCTGCAACCCCACACCACCACTCCAGCCTTACCCCAACTGTGCACACAGTTTGGTATTCAGAGTATTTGGGTAGGGGATAAATGACAATAAGCAGACATTACTTATCAACCCAGTGGACACTAAGAATAAGTTACTTAGAGAATGAGTATGAACTCCAACAGGCTAAGTTCATGGACACAGACATACCCCACTCTAAGCCATTTCCTCCAAGTGCTAGGTGTTCTTCTAGGCCTCACGGATACAGCCATGGGAAAAAATAAGACAAAAATCCCTACCCTCAGAGAGCTCCCATTCTGGTCCAGGCTAAATATGATTGCATCACCATGACCACTACTTCACCATTAAGTCTCCTGCGCAAAGGACCCAGTACTCAATCCATAATGTTCTGGTGCTTCCCGCAATACCTCGGTTGGTAGAGTGGAGAACAGTAAAGGTCACTCCTCCCTTGCCTTCTATGAGTACCTGGTTATTACGTTATCTAAACAGTGTTCTTTACATCACCCCACACTTAAGCAGCCTGAGACAATGGGAAGGAGAAAGTTTAGAGCCTGCCAGGCATACTTCCACTGACTGAGCAATACCTTGATTAAGTTATTCAATCCCCCGAGTCTAGCTTCTTCAACTGTAAAATGGGGATGGCATTTCCTCAAAGGGCTCTGTGTGGACTAAATGAGCCCCTACAGGTGAAGCTCACAGCCCCTCAGGTAATGGTAGCCCTTTTCCTGCACCCCTTCCATAGTCCTTTCAGACTGTCTAAATAAGACCCAGCACAGGCCTCCTGAGAAGCCTTCTGGACAATTTAAGGGCCTTTTCCCCATCATGTTTAGCGAATCAGGTACTCGAGACCAAGGCAACACACCCCCCCACCCCCGGATACCTGCCTCCATCACCGCCACCTGGCAACCCCACCCACTCTCTCCTGCTTTTGCCCTAAGAACACATTTACAAAACCTCACTCCACTCTTCAAGTCCTCACCCAAATCTGTTCAGAAGTGTCTTTCCCCACCCAGGCCTAGGGCTGAGCCACCCTGCCTCCCCTCTGCAGCCAGTTCTCAGCCAATGAAAAGTCCAACAGCATGAAAAATGGCATCGGCCACGTTTTTGATTAACATACAGGAAGGCATCAAGAAAAAAACTTGCAGTCTGAATTAGTCACCCTAGTTCAGCAACATCCCTTAATTAAACAAGGAACCAAGATCCTCCAAACCCTCTGGGGCACAAAGTCCACATGCAAATATCTGCCAGGGCTGGGTGGGAAACAGTGGAAGCCAGGGAGCTGTCAGTCCATCTCCAAAGGTTCCTTGGCCACGTGAGACAGAAAAAGCCTTCTGGCCCTTCCAACCTAGGTGCTGGGTCTGCTCTGCAGAAGGTTCCAAAAGTGGACTGGAGGGCTGCTTGCAGTGCGGGCCTATGTGAGATCTCACATCGGAGCCCGCGGATAGCACCTGCTTTCATTACCAAAACAAACACCATGAGGGTATAGCCTCTCCCCTCCGAGTCTCGCTCACCTGATCCAAGATACCTCCATAATCAGCAGTTCCAACCTTCACGAGCTGACAATTCAGGGGGAAAGGAAGGCTGCGCCTGCTGGGGTACATCGTGTCCAGGCCGCATGCTGGCCCGGGGGCCTCCTGGTTCCCCCAAGGGCTGCGGCCTCACAAGGGCGATTGTGCGTTCATCCCTGTCCTGTGGGCTCCCCCGCAATCCTCACACCTCCGCTCTCACTCAGGCCCGGCCGCGGGCAGAACGCTCTGGGAGCACCTCGAGCGGGGAACGGAGGCGCCAGCTGCAGAAGGGCCCGCAGATCGCAGCGCTACCTTCCGGTCACAGATGCCCACCCTTCCCTCGCTCGTTCCCTGACGGCCTCCCAGATGCCGCAACCCATAAACCTGAAAAGGCACAACCGCAAGGACCACCGGCGGGATGGAGCGCTCTCCTCGCTTCCCAGAGACGGCAAAGGTTCGCCCTGGATAAAGTGGACCACTTGGGTCGGGGGCAGAGCTGGGAGCACGGCCTGGAGGGCGAGTAAAGCCCAGGACAGAAGGGGATCGGCGCTGGCTTCTCTTAAAGCTGATGAGGAGACCAGGGGAGGGGATTTTTTTTTGGGGGGGTGACATCCAGGTGGAGACATGGGCGGAGAAGAGGGAGGTTCAGACTTAGGACCAGGGAGGGAAAGAAAATTCAGGCTGAAGCCATGCAAGAAAGAAAACAAATCTGGGCTGAGGCCACTGGAGGGGGGTGGTGGAGAAGTGGGCGGGGGTCCGAACTGAGGCCAAGGAGAAGGGCGACCGAGGCCTAGTCCTGGCCATGGGAGGGAGAAACCTCGGCCTAGCCTGAGCCGTAGGGACGAGGAAAGGGAACATAGTCCCGGCCACAGGAAGACAGACCACGCCTGGATCACTGGAGCGGGTGCCTGACCCACAGGTCCGGCGCGGGGGGGCTAGCCTGGGCCATGAAGGAGACTAGCCAGGACCCCGCGGCGGACAGTGAGGCTCCAGCTTGAACCAAGGGCGGGGACTGGGAGAGGGAGGCAGGGTCTCTGCCCACCCGGGTCAGCGGCCCCCTTCCTGAGCCAGCACCCAGAGTGTCTACCTGAGGTCCAGGACCCCGCCCCTCCCCCACCCAGGAGAACCCACCCTTCACTGGCCGGACGTCGGCGGGAGGGGAACATGAGCTCCAACGGGGGGTCCCGGGGGCTGGGGGAGGGTGACGTTGGGCTTTTACCATGGTGGCGGCGACGGCGGCGGTCCGGGTCCCGGCGTCTGTGGCTCTCCCCCCAGCAGCAGGGCCCGGCGCTTCCACTTCCCCGGGTGCCCAGGAGTGAACATCCGGGTCAGCGCCCCCCCCTCCCCCAGCGCCGGGCCGCCGCCACCTTCCTTCCCCGCCCCGGCCGGCCCGGGCCCGCCCCCACACGCAGCCGGCTCTCCGCCAATGAGCGCGCAGGGCTGCGGGGATCGCCAAGTATGGAGCGCAGCGCGGGGGGGAGGAGCGCGGATTAGGGAAGTGAGGGGCGGATCCTGCGGGCGGGACGGGGCGCGGCGGCTGGCCAGGTGGGCGGGCTGGGGGGGTCTGGTCCCAGCGCAGCTGCACTTCCCGCACCCAAGCTGACTTGGGGAGAAGGCTGTTGCCCGCACCCAGACCCACCCATCCGCTCTGGGGTTGCAGAAGCAGGTGGCTGCTGCAGAACCGTGACAGCCGGCCTCCCGGGCGGGGATGCGGAAAGCACTGGGCCGGGAGGGGTCAGTCCCTCCCTGCCGCGCCCGGTGCACGCTCACTCTCGCCCGGCGGACCCGGAACTGCTGCGGCCAGCTAGCCGAGCCCAGCCCGGTGAGAGTGTAATGAGCGAACCAGCGCTTCCGCTTGCTACCTGTGGGACCTGAAGCAAGCCGCTGCACCTGAGCCTGATCTGTTTAAAAAGTACCTTGGGCCCTGGCCGGTGTGGCTCATTTGCTGGGAGCATCGTCACAGAAACAGAAAGTTCGTGGATTCGATTTCCGGTCAGGGCACATGACTAAGTTGCAGTTTCAGTCCCTGGTCGGCCACGCAACCTATCCGTGTTTCCCTGTTGATGTTTCTCTCCCGCCCCTCCCTTCTCTCTAAATTTAATATGTCCTGAGATGAAGATGAAAGAAAAAAGTGCCTTGGGCCACACCACGTTTTGAGCACTTAGTATAAGTAAATAAAGGATAGTTGTGAGGACTGCACAGGTAGGGATTAGAAAACTGGGATCAATAATTTAGGGTGTTATGAGTAATTTTTACAGTGTTGCAGACAACCAGCGCATTTATCCAGTGGGGCTGCATCACTCCACTGAATGACTTAGAAAAAAAATTTTTTGGTCTTTTCATTTAGCAAATATTTGTTGAGTTTGGTCAAGAAGACAGGAGACCTGGGATGCTCTGCCCTCTCTAGCTTGTTCCCTCTCTTTCGTGAGAGTCAAATCAAATCATCTATGAGGGGATTGTAAATTAGTGTTGCATAAGTGACAGGAATTATTATCAGGAGCCAGGCCATGTCCTTGTCGCTGCCCCACCCCACCAACTCAGGGGAGTAAAACCTGCCACCTGCATAAAAGGGGATATAAGAATGATTCCAAAAGAATGATTCCAGCCTATATTATGGGAAGTCATAGAAGGGAATGACACTTAGGGATTCTTTTCATTTGGTAAATATTTATTGAGCACCTACTAGAGATAGAGCAATAAACAAGACAGTCCATGTTGTTGCAGATCTTCAGCGTTGGAGGGGAGGCAATCAGCTACCAAGTAGATTGAGTGTCAGGTGGTGATTGGACATATGGAGGAAAATCAGAGTGAAAGAAGAGACAGGCCAATTAGCAAAATGAGGCCAGAAGAGACCTAACTTGGTAGCATTTAATCAGAAGGAGGCACAAGCAAGAGCAAAGGCCCAAAGGGGATAGTCCCTGGTATGTCCATGATCTGGGGCTGCCCCGGATCCAACCGGACGGGTGGGAGTGGAGGTCAGGTGCAGCACAGCAACAGGATCTGTCTGGCCTGGGCTTTAAAAGTATCACGAGGCTGCTGTATTCAGAATAGACTGCAGGGGGACTAGGGCTGTTGGAAAGCTAGTTCTGTATTCAAGTCATTTTTTATTTACTTGAAAAGCACTTAGATGGGGCTTCCTGTGTGACAGACACCATCAACCACTTTACAAATAATAACTCATTTACTCCTCATAACAGAGACCCAGAGAGGTAATCCAAGGTCACACAGCAGAGAGATGAAGGTGCTTCCTCCGTCAGGGCAGTAACATTGAGGTGGCAAGAAGAGATCACATACTAGATTTTTGCTGATGGATTGGTGGTGGGCATGAGAAGAAGAAAGGAGTCGAGGAGGATGCTAAGATTTTTAGCTTTATCAACATTTGAAGGGTTTGTCATTTGTTGATCTGTGGAAGCTTATAAGGAGGAACAGGTATTTTGAGGGGGCATAAGAGTCACTTTGAGGCAAGTTATATTTTAAATTGCCTATTGGAGATTTAAATGGAGGTGCCAAATAAGAAATCAGACATGGAAGTCTGGAGTCGGGGAAAGAAGTTGGAGTTGGTGATTAACTTAGGAGAACTGTTAGCTAATAAATGATATTTTAAGGTACTTAAGAGCACAAGACAACTAGGTGAGCTCACTAAGGTGAAAGCAGAGAGGAGAGGTCAAGAAGATAAAGGAACTAGGTAAGGCCACTGAGAAGGAGGACCAAGAGAACCGTCAGAAGGTAATGTCCCTCCTGGAAGCCAAGGGACCAGTCAGGGCGCGAGGGAAAGTTTTGTGAAGGAAACGACACTTGAACTCTTTACTTAAAGAAAATAAGATAGACCTGGCTGGTGTAGCTCAGTGGATTGAGCGTGGACCTGTGAACCAAAGGGTTGCCAGTTCAATTCCCAGTCAGGGCACGTGCGGGCCAGGTCCCCTGTAGGGGGTGTGTGAGAGGCAACTACACGTTGATGTTTCTTTTCCTCTGTTTCTCCTTCCCTTCCCCTCTCTAAAAATAAATAAAATCTTTAAAATAAATAGAGGAAATAAGGTGAAAAGGAAGCCTTTGTTCAAAATGCATTACCTGTATTTTCTCATGTAATGCTCACTACACCCCTGTGAGGACAGTGCTGTGACTCGCACTGTGCAAATAAGGGAACTGAGGTACAGAAAGGTTAAGCAACTTGCCCGAGATCACATAACTAATGATTCACAGCCAGGCATTCTTGGACCAGAGCCCACTATAACCCCACACCTGCTTATGTTGCTTCCCTGCTCAAATAAGGGGGCTGGAGAACCAACCCAGAACTCAGGGGCAGGCTACTCTGTCTCTCTCATGAGGCCCCATTTCTGCTGCTTTTGATGCATCTGATACATTCTGCCTTCATTGCCCCACGTCCTCAGCTTGTAGCCCTTTCCCTCCTCCACATCTCCGCCAAATGAGGTCCACCCCGGTGACCTTTGTCCTCCTTTATTCTCTGCATCCACTTACTCTATTAACTAGCAAATTCTTTTTGTTTCATAATTCAGACCCCAAGACAGAATCCAGTTAATGCATCTTTTAGTGCCGACAGCTCATTGAACAGGTCACTGGCCAGTCCACAGACTGGTGGCCCGTAGGTCAGAGCTCACCCCTTGACCAGTCAACTATTGCTATGAGTGTGGGGGCAGCTGGCATCATGACTGCCTACAAGAGGCTGTGGGTAGGCAGGCAAGCGCCATAAATATTTTTGGTACTTTTCCTCCTCCCTCTTTCAAGAACCCAATCCCCTTCAAGTTCTCACTATTGTATTTTCCCACCTGCAACCTCTCTTTTTTGCTCTCATGAACTGGCTTTCATCTCAGTTCCTGCACCTTACTCTACAACCTCAAATCCATAAGCATAATCTATCAGAAATCTTACGGACGTCTCCGTTACATGTTTCTTCCCTACCAGTGAAGTTTTCCCTTATCCTGTCTTCAAATACCCCCTCTCATTGGTCTTACCCTGGACTCGCTCTCACCAATAACTGCGCTATCTCAGAAAACACAACTGCAAAGATCTCAGATCTGACTTTAGCTTCTTTACTAAAATATCACACACAAGCATTTCTTCAACTTCACCAAGACCTGCAAACCTTTGATCCTGCCAGATTTTCATATTTAGCTTCCCCCACAGGCTCCTGCTCCTGCTTAACCAGCTTAGCAATGATCCCGAGACTCACGTCCTCACAAAAACCCGTAACCCCTTTGCCCATTGTCTCCTAGTTCGCCCGACATAGTTAAACCCAGCCAACCTCCTACTCTCCGGTTAAATTGGAATATAAAAACATTGGGAAACTGAAAGTGACTAGTGTCACTTTAAACTGATGACCACAAATGGCAAAGAAGACTATAGCAGGAGACAATTCTGCTGTACTTCCCTGCTGCATTCAATTACCCGCACTCTGTAAGGATGATTTTTCACTCTCCTTTGTCCCCTTCTCATCCTTCACTCTGAAAAGATGAGCTTGCCTCATACATTATGGAGACAGTACAACCAATCAGACAGAAGCCCTTTCCTCTGCCAACAAGTCTGTGCCTTGCCTACGTTCACGGCCTTCCCAACTCTTAGGTGAACTAAGGGTTTGCGCACCTATCGGAGCCAACCCTTCCACTGGCACTCTGCACCCCTCTTTCCTTACCGATTTCTCCCTTTATACTAGAATACCCCCAGCTTCTGAAAATAACATGCCCCAACATCCCACATTTTTTAAAAGCTTTAACAAACATCTACTTGACCATACGTCTCCCTCCAGCCGTCTCCCCATTTTCTCTCTCCCCTTCACGTCAAAATTCTGTGAGTTCTCTGCAGCTGCTCTATCCACACCAGCCCCAGTTTCTCCTCAGATCAGTCTGGGTCGAGCCTCTGCTTCCGCCTGTTGAGCAGCAAACTCCAACTTGCAGAAGCCGATGGTCCCTCCAGGCCTCATCTTACTACCGACTTCTCCTTGATGCCCCTGTCCTGGTGCTCAGGTTTCCTCTGAGATCCCTGTTACAGTGCCTCTTCCTTTCCTGAAGGTTCAGTTCTAGGGTTCCTTTGTGTTTGTATCCAACTAGTCACCAGGGGGCTTCAGCACCTGGAACAAAATAGGCACTCAATGAGGATCCGTGAAAGAAGATAATACTGTCAACATCACAGGATTATTGTGTGGACATGAATGAATGATAAAGTAATAACTACTTTAAATTGAGTGGTTACCATGCGCTAAGCTATTGTATTATCTCACTGGTTCCTCCCAACAATCCTTTGAGCTAGGAACTTTGATTATTATCATTTATTTGAAAAAGAAGTTAAGGCTTAGAGGAAATGGCTTGCCCAAGGTCACATGGATAAGTGAATAGATGAATCCATCCTCACTTTCGTCTTTCTGACTCGATGTCTTTTCTCAGAATCATTACATTGGAATTATAGGTAGCAAAGTGCTTTGTAAACATCAAAACATGATACCACATTCCATCATATAACACGACAATCATGCATAGTAGGTGTCCATGTGTGTTTGCTGCACTGAGATAGAGTGGTGGGGAAGCCCAGAGCCGAGCAGGGCCACCCCCCCCCCCCAGAGAAAGGAGAAGCAATCTACAGGAGTTGATAAAACAGCCTTCCACCAAATATTGAAATTTTTAATAAGATTTTATTTAGAGGGGGGAAAGGAGGGTAAAAGAAAGGGAGAGAAACATCATTTGGCACCTCTCTCATGCCCCTACCTAGGGACCCGGCCGGCAACCCAGACATGTGCACTAACTGGGAATCAAACCAGTGATTTTTCAGTGTGCGGGTCAACACACAATCCACTAAGCCACACCAGCCAGGACTGAGTGAAATTTTTTTGTGATGCTCATCAGCTACTACCGGACACGTTAAAGCATGTGTTACTCAGAACTTTGCCCAACATGGTTTCTATCCTTCCTTCTTCAAGTAAGTCCCCACAACTGGAACTGTCGGGTTGGTAAACACACAAGTATCCACGGGCTGGGAATTGCTTAGCTCTTGAATTGCCTCTGACTTAACAGGCCTGAACTGCTTCCTGAATTGTGGATCTTGGATTACTTTTAGATGTTTCATTTTTGTCTTTGAAGATACAAGAGACTCTAGAATTCACCAGCTTTTAACCCCTGGCTAGACCAGGAGGGAAGGAACGCCACCTGGTAACTCCATCTTCCCCATCATCAGCTGGTATAGAGATCACTTCTGGGGTATCCCCCACATATGCGCACCCTCTTTTTACTACAACCGAGCCCTGCCTCATTCTCATTTAGTTTGGCTGGTGTTGAGCCCACCTCTAGTTCCAGAAGAGAGGATTCTGATTGGCTGAAGCCAAAGTATGGCCTTGACCATACTAATTAATTTGGTGATGGGCCCTTGACATAGTTTGGGCCATAGTGCTTTCTACACAACACTGATCAAAATAAACTCTGCATGAAGAGGGGTGGCCCCTCAAGTAAGTTTGGGGAATGATCTATTTCTCAGGATCCTTACACTTCAATTATACTGTCTCTCCCCAGATTGTTCAACTACTCCTTCTCAACTAAATGATTGCTGTGGTTTTAAACATGCCTCAGTGTCTCACACATTATGCTTAAAAAAAAAAAAAGCCTACATGAATCCCACACCCCCCTCTAGCCTACCACTCCACCTCCTGCCTTTCGCAGCCACAGAATTGACAGTATTTCCTCCCCGCACTTTCTGATTTCCCATCCTGTTCCATCATTTCTCCAATGAGATGACTCTAGGGTCAATGAAATGACTCCATGCCCAAACCACAGGGATGGTTTTTATCCCCGCCTCCTTCAACTCCCCGGTAGCGTCTGACACTGTTGGCCCCTTGCACCTCCTTGTGTCCTCCTCTTCCATTGGCCTTCAGGCATCACAGGACTCGCCTAGTCTTAGTCCTTCCCTAGGATGTCTCCTCCTCTGTGTTCTTTGCAGATTCATTCCCTTCTACACAACCACTGAAGGATGGAGTTTCTCGAGGCTCAATCATGGCATCCCCCCTCCTTCCGCTTTGTGCTTTCTCCTTAGACAATCTCACTCATGCTCATGATGTCGTTTACCAGCAGGTCTCGCTTAGGAACCCACCCATGTAACTGGCAAAGATTGAGGACCTGCTGATGGGGGAGGGGAGCTGTTTCCTTCCTAATGGGAAATCAGGGTACTATAACCAAAAGGAGGAGAAAGACATGTTGAAGAGTAGGGGGGGGAAACCCAAAACACATGGCCATAACAGACCTTACCAGTGTGGCTCAGTTGGTTGGGCGCAGTCCCACAGAGTAAAAGGTCACTGGTTCAATTCCTGGTCAGGACATGTGCCTGGGTTGCATGTTTGGTCCTTTACCCAGGGTGCAGATAAGAGTCAACCAACAAATTTCTCTTTCACATCAATATTCTCTCCCTCTCCTTCCTCTATCTCTCAAAATAAAATATTAAAACACACACACACGGTTATTACAGGCATGCATTCTGGGCAAACTCATGCAAATTAATGAAACAGTCTCCTTTGGGTCTCAGAAGTTTCTAGTTATTGGAACCCTAAGCAGGGATGAATACAGGCAAAAAAAATGCTGATTTCCTTTGAAGACAGAACACTGTGTGGTTTGTAGAAGAGGCAGCCTTGGCTAGACAGCTTGGATCAACTTTTTCCACCCCGCAGCATCTTGAAAGAACATGCAGCAGGAAGGGGGAGGTAGACAGACCACTAGCAATGCACTTGGTTTGAACACATGCCCCAAGTCTTCAGTGCCAGGAGGATGCTTTAGTCTGAGGTTAGACACTGTCATCTCAGGGCTTTGTTTTTGCTTTTCTAATAGGTACCTGGGAAAACTTGCAGCTGCCTCCTGCTGGACCAAAAGTATTTGCATCCTGACCATCTGTGGGGTCTTGCTCAGAGTTACAGAAAGGCCTCTCACATGTGGGCCAGCTGTTGGAGGTTTTATATGCATATTTGGGGGAATTCATGTTTAGTTTATTAAGCTGGCCAGCCAACCGCCCACCAGGCTGGGGCCGGTCTCTGCAAGCTGTTTAAGGCTGACCTTTCAGATTCAGAAGAATCATCGCCTCCTCCTCCTTGTAGCATTCTCTTTCAACCCCCTCAGAAGTTGTGTGGGGCCTGCTCCGTATTCCCACAGAAACCCTGTACTGAGTACATCTTATCGAATCGCTTTTTCACTTGTGATTTGCCCTGATTGCTCTCTGGGCCCCTTGAGGCAGTGGCTGTGAGTCATATTACTAGCAATTAGCATAGTACCTGGAATATGATAGTCTATGAATGATGCCTGTCAAGTGGTGAGCCAGAGAAACTCCAAAAACACTCATCCAGGATGCAGACCTGGGCCATTCTTGACTCCTCCCAAGTGTTCATCCCTCATTCCAATCAGACATCGCAATGTTGCAAAGGAATTTCAACTAGATGCAGAACTGACATCGGAGCTGAAAAGTGGGAAGACTTGAAGACGAGTCTGATGAAAGGCTGGAATAAAAGATCAGAGCAACGAACAATTACAAAAAGTTTAAAAATACCACTTGCATTAACATCAAAAAGCATAAAATACTTAGGGGTACATTTAATGAAAGATGCACAAGTCTTATGTACTTTGAAAACTAGAAAACATTGCAGAGAGAAACTAAAGATCTAAATAGATGTACGCTTTTGGTGGTTTGGAAGACTCAACATGGTAAAGATGTTCAATCTCCCCCAAACGACCTACGGATTCAATGCAATGCAATTTAAAACACCAGCAAATTTGTTTTGTGGAAATTGACAACCTAATTTAAATATATGTATGTATGTATATATGCACATATGTATATGTGTATATACGTGTGTGTATATATATGGATATGGAAATGCAAAGATCTTAGAATCTTGAAAAAGAAAGGAAAAGGGCAGAGGACCTACACTACCTGATTTCAAGACTTACTATTAAGCTGCAAACATGTAAACAATGTGATATCGGCATAAGAATAGACACAGATCAATGGCCCAAAATAGTCCAAAAATAGACCCACACAGATACAGTCACATACCTTTTTGTATGAACAGTGCTTTCAATATATGGCATTAGAACAACTGAAGGTCCATTTAGAAAAAAATGAATCTTGACCCTTACCTCCTACCATGTATAAACCCTAACTCTAAATGGATCACAGACCTAAACATAAAAACTAAAATTACAAAACTTCTAGAAGGAAACATGAGGGAAGAAATCTTCATGACATTGGGTAGACAAAGGTTTCTTAGACAGGATACAAAAAGCTCTAGTTAGAAAAATGGATGAACTGGATTTGATTCAATGAAGGAAAGTGCTTTTCCAAAGATAAGGATTAAAAAAAAAGATTTGAGTAATAAGGTATTATTTAAACTCACATAGACCTTTAATTTTTTTGAAAGAAAATGGCATTCTCTCTACTACATAAGCTTCAATCCTTCTGAATAATTAAATGCAAATATTAGCTTTAATTTTTTGTGTTCACACAAACCAATGGAATGTGTAGCAAAAGAGGACCTTTGTTAAGACTGTTACCTTCCAGGACCAGGCTGGCCCCGGTGATCTCTTTATCTACAGCAATCAATGTGACTATAGTCAGAAAGACTCCAGATTTTGGTCAAAAAGGAAAGCAGATGTCAAAGGCAGGGAAGTGATGGCAAGTACCTTGTCCAGCAGGTAACATGACTGTAAGTGGGGAAAATGAATCATTAAGATTCATTTAAGATGCAGGTGAGATGCACTAATGAGTCTTAATGATTAAGAATCATTAAGATGCAGGTAGGCAGGTGGGGGAGAGTGGAGGGCACGTGGGTCAAGGAGATTCAGCACAGAGGCCCCAAGCAATGCTAGTAGTCATGGAACCCATTGCTGATATTCATCAGTGTTGCCTAATTAACAACTTAAAACTGCCAGACAGGATCAGACATACTTGACCCTAAATCCTGTAAGGTCTGGCCCAGTTTAAAACTTTTATGTGTCAAGAACAAACTGATCGCCAAAGATCTCTCGGTTGGGCGCCATGGCCACACACTGCCCTTGAGGTTTTGTGGGGCTTTATCTGGATGGTCTTTTGCTCTCTGCCCCAGGCTACCTGTGACTGCTGCAGGCATGAGGCACCGACAGGCCACGCCTTCACCCTCTGACTGGGCATAAGCATAATCCAGAGTTTCCAGTCTCCCCTCAGTTAGGTTGTGGTTGTGTGGCTGGAATTTGACCAATGGAATGTGGGAGGAAATGTCATGTGTCACGTCCAGCGTAGTGGTCAGATGCCCTCCCTTTCTCTCAGCCAGCAGAGGACCCAAGGGAACACTCCAAAATGGAAGAAGCTTGAATCCCCTGCCAGGACAGTCCACTGAAAACATCCGACGGAACCATGTCTCATTGAGCAAGTAGACCCGTATTACTGTAATAGTGAGCTACTAAGGGCTGGGGATTTCTTGTTTCAGCAGCTTGCCTTGTCCTGATTGACACAGGTCTGCAGAGCTCCCCCAGACAGTTCCCAACATATCAGGAAATGTTTGAGATGGTCCCTAAAAGCAAGATTTCCACAGAAGTGTGAGGGTTCCACAGATATCTCAAGAAGAGCCTGCGAGGCTGATCAAAGATCTCACAGCTACATGGATGGTGAGCCAGAGTGTGAACGGAGGTCTGTCTGATCCCAAAGCCTTTGCTTTCTTTACCCCTCCATGTTACCTCAAACAAAGAGATGCTCAGATATTTTGAGTGATGATCATAATGAGGATAGACTCTAGGGTTCTGTGTAATTTACTCTCTGGCACATTTTTGCTGTAACTTCCACCACGTCCCACAGGCCAGTGAGGCTGAATATAATGATACCCTGTAATCCTCATTTTTATATCAACATCATCCTCAAATACTCAAAGGAGGGTAGTTAAAATTGTCATGATTTTCTCCAGCCGGCAACCTAAATGTCTCGCCAGTCTGGTAAAAGACTTTTGGGACCACGCCGTTAGTGTACAGGGCTTCCGTCTCCATCCCCTCTTTCCTTCCTATCACAGCCCTTCCAGCCCTAAACTGGGATCTATGCTTCTTCCAGCTGAACATGTGCATCTTTTTTTCTCCCTGCAATGTCAAGAAGGCATGTGACCGAACCTCCATATCCTATTTCCACATCTATACAAGGGGGGGTGTGATACCTACCACAATAGGACTGTTAAGAGATTTAAATAAGATAAGCAATAAGCAGGTGCCCCCCCCCAACAATCTTCTCCGTTCTTCCAAGACCAGGTGAGATCGGGCTAGTTCAGGGTGGTATGGCCATAGACTCCTTCACTGTCCTTTTTTCTTTTTTTCTAAGATTATTTATTTATTTTTAGAGAGAGGGGAAGGGAGGGAGAAAGAGAGGGAGAGAAATATCAATGTGTGAGAGAAACGTCAGTTGGTTGCCTCTCACAGAAGCCCAACCAGGGATCCTGCTTGCACCTCGGACATGTGCCCTGACTGGGAATCGAACCAGTGATCCTTTGGTTCACAGGCCAGTGCTCAATCCACTGAGCCACACTAGCCAGGGCACACTTTAAATCTTATGTGCTTTATGCAGGGAAGCTCCTAGAATAAGATTCTATTTCTGTCCGCAAGGACTGTCAGAGAGATGATTATAAAAGACATGACAGCTTATTATTCTTAAAAATAGCATTTTAAACAGGACTACAGAAATATATCCCTATTGTGAAAATGTTATAGATAAAACACATGAAAAGAGAAATACCCAAGAAATAATCACCTCTATTCTCAGAACCTACCCTAATCTTTTTCATTTGTATGTCTATACACGTTTTATAAGAATAGGATCATACTGTGTACATATTTTTGTAACCTGCTTTTTCCTGCCTAATAACACATGAATATTTGACACATTATTAAAGATTCTCTCCTGGCCCTGGCTGGTGTGGCTCAGCGGATTGAGTGTGGGCCTACGAACCAAAGAGTTGCTGGTTCAATTCCCAGGCAGGGCACATGCCTGGGTTGCAGGCCAGGTCCCCAGTAGGAGGCACACAAGAGGCAAACCACACATTGATGTTTCTCTCCCTCTCTTTCTCCTTCCCTTCCCCTCTGTCTAAAAATAAATAAATAAAATCTTTTTTTTAATGGAGGAAATTCTAAAAAAAAAAAAATCCTCCTCTGGCGTAATTTTTAATGGTGGCTTATTATGCACTCTATGGCTCAATTATGATTTTTTAAAGCAATCCCCTAATGTTGTACAGATAGGTTATTTCCTGTGTTTCACCATCCTTAGCAATGAACACCTTCGTGTGTGTATTTCTCTACTCACATCCCTAATTATGTTCTTCGAACTCGCCGGTAGAAGTTTACATCAAAGGAAGAGCACGTTGTTGAGGCCATTCCTACCCATTGCCAAGTTTTCGATTAAAAAGTCACACAGACTCACAACCCACCAGCAGCGTAGGAGAATGCTACAATAAAGGCTTTTGTCCAAGATGATGATTATGGACAAAAAAATAATCAGGAAGATAATTGTCTGCGACAGGCTTGCCCCACGCCAGCTGTGTTTATTTGTTGAACTCTGCACGCACGTTTCTTGGTCCAAACACTAACAGTCCTTTAGATTCTTAGTTCATCTAGTGCCTCTGTTAACACCCTGAAACTCTAGCCTGAGTTTTATCTGGAGGAACGGAGATTTCTGGTAAGTGCTGTTTCCAGTTTGGAAACTCAGCCCGAGCCCTCTGTTCCTCATCCCAGTGTGGACCACCTCTGTGGTTTGCAACTGCAGGGAAATCAGTCGGACGGCTGCTGACTTGGGAGCTGAGAACTGAAGTGCTTGTGAAGAAATGGAAGAGCTGGTTTGGGGTGAAAAAGTCATGTTCTGAGGTACAAAGGAAAAAAACCTAGGACAACCTAAGAGTTTGGAGTCTCATTTGACCCACTCTGATAATATCACTATGGTGATGGTCTCTGTAAACAGTTGCAAAATAACAAAGATGAAAAGGAACCAGTAAGCTCCACCCAGGAGATCTGGCGCTATTTTAGGGAAGAAGTCAATGTCATCTGGGGTAAATATGGAATGCAAAATCTGCTCTTTTAATAATCATCTCCTTCTCTTGTGGGGCTGAACAAAGGCCTGACCCAGCATCTTTGGAGCTGAGAGAAAAGCTCGGCCAAAAGAATGGAAATCATGGTTCATAACAGATGCTGGGATGATTCTCCTCACACCCTTGGCCTCTGAGACTCTGCTGAGTCTGGTGTGGCGTCCAAGGGTGGAACAAGGGTGACGTTTTCGGGAATGGCTGGCCTGGTCGAGAGGCTGGGATCGGTACCCCAGGGAACTGAGCTTGGTTGTCTGCCCCTGACCTTGATTCCTGGCCCAGAGAGGGTGGAGGGAAGCATCTTCAAGGCCATGGTCTGTCTCTGGGGCATCACCATCTGCTGCAGACGACATCTGCCACTCCTATCCTCATGCTATTCTCTTTGAACCCCTGACTCAGCGAGCCCCAGTCCAAAA